ACATGAGCTCAGATTCAGGTCCATCAGAGGACAGAGGGTTTGTAACATGAATGTCCTATGTGGTCCAGAAGTCATGTGTGGACAGCTGCAGGGTAAGGGTGAAAGAGTCCCATTATTTTTTTAGGAGCCCCTTACCATCTACAACTTGATTGATCCTAAATGAGAAGAGAATAATTTTAATAGGTGAAGCAAGCTATATCTAGAAATAAATAAGGAAAATTAGAACTACTGGTTTCTGAAGAGTAAAGGTCCAGGATAGCTATTAATATAGGCAAACCTCACTCATAGATGTTGATCATGGGTTGATTAGTTAGACAAAAGACAAGTGTAGAAGTGTAGAAGTGTAGAAGTGTGTGTGTGTGTGTGTGTGTGTGTGTGTGTGTGTGTGTGTGTGTGTGTGTTTAGGTGAGATTCACTGGAAGTTGTCCTGTAAATGAAGGTTCTAAAAGTCAATTGGGATCTGTAAGAGCAAGAGAGCACACAAAAGAGCAGCACTTTGTGGGTGCTTGTAAAACACAGGAAAGAGTCTATTATAGTAGTTGATGTGAAAGTATTTAGCTTTGGCCTGACTCATACTCTTGAGGATCTTTTTAGGAAGAATTCTTTTAAGCATTTATCTTGTGTATTTAGTTTCTGTGTGGCACAGGGAGCACTATCTCTGTTATTTTGTTGTTACTTTGTAATTAACATTAACGTAGTTAAGTATGTTATCTTAACATTAACGTAGTTAAGTATGTTATCTTATAGGGATGTGTGGAATGAGAACTATTTAAGGGGGCATGATAAGTCCTGGTTAAAGAAAGAAGATCAGATCTGATTAATAGAAAATGTCATGGTATCGAAACACAGTTTTCCCTTTACTGTTGAGTCTGGCCTGTTATTTGGCCTGTTTAGACTGAGTGCAAATGGCCTCTTGAGTGAATGAAATGTATTCCCAGCACCCGACTTGCCTGCACTGGGAGAATTTGTCATATTTTTCAAACTGCAGACCTCAAGCTAGTCTGTTCTTTATCATTTTTCGTAGCCCCTAGAACCCATCTACTTTTTTTGTTTGTTTGTTTGTTTGTTTGTTTATGACTAGAACCGGTCCTATGGCAGTTGTTTTTTTTTCCCTATGGCAATTTTTGTGTCTAATTAAGTTAGATCATTCCTGGGCCCTAAGCCCTCCTGTGTGGAAATCAGAAGGCATCACAGTGTACGGTGAGGTTCATGGGTGTCAAAAACTAAGGTTGAAATTTTAAGGGAACTGAGGCCTCAATACCCAGAGGCCAAATAAGTTAATTCAACATGATAAAAATCCTGGATTTTATAATAAGATATTAGCTATCATCTGTATCTACCTGTAAAACATTTGAAGTTAATTACTACTTAATTTTATAATTGAAATATTTGGGGGATAACTGGACTGCCCTGTAAATCCTTCAAAAAATACATTAAATTTTTCCTTTCCGTTGGTTAATTTTCAAATTCAAAAATTTATTTTGGAGGAGTCAGAGAGACTTATGAATAAGGTACTTGTCTTATATGGGACTGACCCAGGTTACATTTCAATCTCTACATATGATCACCCAGTACTGCCAGGAATGATTTCTGAGCATAGGGCCAGGAGTAAACCCTGAATGCAGCTGGTTGAGGCACAACAAACAGCACTAATATATGTAAATTATATAAGGTTTTAACAATAAATTTATTTTTTGTGTGTACATATAAATGGTATTGCCATAAAATACAAAAAAAACTACAGTATTAAAGAAAAAAATTAAATAATATAGGTATTATTTGTTTTTAATTATATACAGAAATTTTATTGCTTTTGTGTTATAAATTAGATAAAAATTGTCTCTTTTATTTTAAAAACAAAGTTTTAATATTATTTGGAGTTAGTAGCAGAACAGTGATGAGCTGAATGTTGGCTCAGTCTAAGAAAGTGGTCAAGTTGAGAGATATAGTAAAACAAAAACTATGAACTAGGCAGCGATTAAAACTGTCTATTGTTACGTCTGAGAAGTAGCTCTGTGAGCAAATTGCTTGCCTTACAACTGACAGGCCTGGGTTTAATACCAAGCACCCCATGTAGTACCCTGAGACCACAGGAAAGATTCCTGAGCACAATAATTTGTGGTCTCTGAACCAAAATTAATTAGAAAGAAAAAATCAAGACACAAAAACACATTTATAACCCAGGGAAATTTAGTATACCCCTAAAATTCTGTCAATAGTATATTTGGGTTGCAATGTAGGAGCATGGGGGCTTTGGTTTGGTCATAAGAATTTTTTCCTCTTTTGTTTTGGTTTGTTTTATATATTGGTAGTATGGAAACCAGAAATTCAGCGCCTGTATAACTCAATTTTGTGCTTATCAGCTAGTGAGGGCAAAGAAAAAAGAAAATGTTTATCAGTTGCTGTTTTTCTTTGGCAGCAAAGTCCACCTACAGGAACAGGAAGACAAAGAGCTGACTCTTCTTCCAACTCTTCCCTCAAAGTTTGCCACTTTTGGAGTTGTTAATAAGTTTGGCATATTGGGAAAATTTTGAGTTTTCCCTTTAAAGTTCTAAAATTGTTTGTCTCAGTGGCATTAGCCTGATTTCACAAATGGAAAAAGACTTTAAGAAGATCTCATTAGAGAAGTGGAAGAATAGTTCAGTGGGGAGGGTGCCTGACTGATATGAGGCCGGCTGAGCTGTGTGTTTTACCCCAGCAACCCACGTGCTCCCCAAAGCACCTTCAGGATGGATCCCTGATTGAAGAGCCAGGAGTAATCTAAGAGCTTCCACACTGCCTGCCTTGGCTTCAAAACCAAACCCTTACAAACCCTTATTTGACTCTAAAATATATTTGACAAGGAAATTTGCCCTGTTGTGACCTACAGTTTTTAAATACTCCAAATTAGTCAGGAAAACAATCTTTAGAAAATTTTGAGATAACCATATTATGTTAAAAAAACATAGAACAGTTATATGGGTTTAATATCATTAAAATATTTCAGTAGCATAAATTTTAATACTGAAAGTAAAACTTAGCTGCCTAAAAAAAAACATGATTAGACCTACTTAAACATCTGGTGATAAAACTCATCATGCTTATTTACAAGAATTAACTAAATTAAACAAACAGATAAAAACCCTAGGGTCAGCTGGAGAGAGAGTACAGAGGTTAAAATACTTGCCTTGCATGCAGCCAGCGGTGGTTTGAGAATTAATACCTAACACCACAAAAGGTCTCTTGAGACTTGCCCGAGTAATCCTTGAATGGAAGGGCAGAAGTAAACTCTGAACACTTTTGAGTGTGATCCACTAGCAAACAGAAACCATAAAAAATACAAAGCAAAAAGCACTTCATAGCCAAACTATTTTTATTCTTTTGACCACCAACAAATACTTTTACTCTTTTGACCAAGGGAAAATAAAATGCTAACTTTGATAAAATAATTAAAATCCTTAGCATGGCTATATATGCAAAGCTTCTTAAAGATATTTTCTGCTTTTAGTTCTATTAGAATTGGTGCCTAATTTAGTTAACTTGATATTATATATCTGAAGTAATTATTTTTTAGTGCTAAAATTTATGTTTATACCAAAATCCAGACCTTACATCTAATTCTATGCTCAGGTATCACTCTTAGCAATGTTTATCAGACCACCTATAGTGTTTGTGATCAAACCAGGTAGGCCAAAGGCAAAACAAGTGCCTAAACCTCTGTACTGTCTCTCTAGACATCATGGAATTTTAAGCTATTTATTATTTATTAAAATTATTTCAGACTGTAAGCATTTTTGTACTAGATATAGAGATCATTTTTCTAGAGACAAAACAATATTAGCATTGAAGTTCTAAATTTTTTCTTACTGTTGTTGAAGTGATATTTTTCTTTATAATACAAAGGTAGTCTAATTATTAATTGAACCTGAATTTTGGTCTTTAAGATAAATGTTGTAAAATACAGCATGAACTAAGGCCTACGCAGAAGAAAGTTATATAGCATATGATAAATAAAGGACACAAGTGGCCACATACAAATGCTCATGTAATTGACCAACTTCTCCAGCCCATTGGAAGTAGCATGAGAGGCAATTGACTCTCAGGCTGAGAAAGGACAATCCACAAGGGTAAAAATCCCTCTTGGCCAAAGAATTTCTCCAGTAGCTATATTCCCAGCAACACATATAGTCTCCAAGCCATGCCAGAGGTAATCACTGAGCCAGGAGTAATTCATGAGCACAGTCAATTGTGGCCCCAAAGTAAAAAAAAAAAAAAAAGTAAAATAAACAACAATTTGTGAGAAATTGTAGTCCTAACAAAAATCCTGAGTTTGGGATATTTCCCGGAGCAGAATAGATTAGGTCTTAAAATGGGTTGTGAATGTGTGCCCAGAAAAGAATAGGATAATAGGAAAGAATGGAATAGATGACAAATATATGATGGCTGCAAACATGTGCACAAGAAAAGCATAGAATAAACCAGTTTGAGGTATTTTAGATGTTGAAGGCAATATGGAATAGGATACTGTCACAACTTTATACTCAAAGGGTGCAGAGACTGGGATATGACTCAACCTCTGCTCATTACTTACCTACTGAATGTTGGCATGCTGACTAATTGTTCTAAATGTCTTTCTCTGTCACCTGAAATAATGTCTCACATGTTGTGAGTCTGTGTATGTGTGTGTGGGGAGGGGTACTATTTTATAGAATAAATGACCAGCCTATGAGACCACTGATGGCTGCCCCAGGGGACCCGTAAGTTTGTATAGTCCTGTATGTTGTTTATCTTTTTGTCTCCTTATGTGTTTGTCTCATTTCCTGTGGCCAGACCAATAGGGAGGGGCTGTAGAACCAGTTTGGTACAATTTAATGAATAAACATTTTAGAATTTACAGGATGAGCCACATGGCTCAGCTCAGTCAAAAGGTCTATGTAGTTAGTTAGAAGGCAGAAGTGTTCATAGAAGTCTAAAGGGCAGAAGTGCTAAGGGAAATGTGATGTAAGGATAAACTGATGTTTGAGGCAGCAGCTAATTTGCTTAGATATTTCTCATTCACAGATCTACAATCAGAATAGGAATGTGGGAGGAACTTAAATTAATTCAACAATTCCCCACAGGGTGGAGTCTGAGCAGAGGGGCCTTGAATTACTCACCCTGAGGCCTGACCCTTTTATATTTCCAGGGACTCTTGAAGGGTTAGTTTTGTTTTCAACTGCAGGAGTTCTGTGGAACACTGAAGGTAAGCACTGAGACAAGCATTTACAGTTTACATACTTTCTGATGATTCTCTCAAAAGTATAGTTGCTCTATTGATATCTTTACAATTTTTTAGAGATTTCTGCCTGTTCTTTTTTTTGTCTTTACTCCAAATTATATTCATAAAATTGGCTAGCACAACCCCTTTTGAATTTTGGGATCAAATGAAGATTTTTTTTTCTAATGTAGTGAACACTTCATTACATTAGTACACTGTAATTCATCTACTGATATATGACTGCACTTGGTCATATCATTCCTAGAGTTAAAATGGTAAAATGATGTCAGAATTCATAATATGTCTCATACCCTTTGCTTACTGTTAACTTTCGTTTTCGTATCAGCTATAATTAATTATGAAGAGAAGTGAAAGTGCTTATTTATTTTTAAGAGAGGTTTCTTCCCGTTTTTATTTTATGAAAGATGTGCCTTATAATGAAAAGTTAACATACTTTTGTATGTAACAATGGGAGAATTACACTTTTCAATTTACCTTTTTTTTGAGGAGGGTGGAGTGCTAGTTTAGAAGTAACTTCGGAGAAAATGTGTTGTCTTCATTCATGTGAAGCTCAGCGTGTAGCTTATGTAAACTAGGTGTAATCCATGAGCTACGCTGCTGTGACAGTGATGTATCTTTAACTCATTTCTCAATAACTTTAGAAAGTATTGCTCTGTGAACATATAAAAATAAATATTTTGGTTCTTAAAAAGCTATATTCTCTTTGGGTAATCTGTTTATCAGGTTCTAAACTTTGAACTTTTATGTTTAGTTTGGTCATTTCAGGCTTGAAACTTGCAAATGTGTAAATATTAACCATTGAGTACTCAAGAGCATTTATTTAACTATTTGACCTTTGACCTGTGGATGACTAGGAGATACTTATTTTCATGATTTCATAAAAAAGAGGTATTTTTTTTAATGTTAAGATTGTCAGGGTTTTACAGTCTATAGACAATTTACAGAATTGTACAGACTGGGCATCAGGGATATGAGTCAAAGTATCAAAACACATAAATAGTAATATTAGATCCTGCATTTGACCCCTGTATTGCATATCCCCAAGCATTGACAGGTCCTGAAAACAATTAGGAACAAGTATTGTGCCACTGAATCAAACATGAACTATGGGCCCATAAAAGCAGCAAAAGCAAGACCAGAAGTGACCTCTTGCCTCCCATGTACCTAGTTCAGTTTAATTCTAAGAAATGAAAATATTCTTAAACTGTACCATTGTATTTCTTTTTCTTTTATGATGATTTAACATTTTTACTCCTCTTTCTACCAGAAAGAATAGTTCTATCTCAAAGTTCAGTTTCTTGAAAGAATTATTATATGGTTAGCTAAACATCAGGGTTGTTCTGTTCAAGCTTTTTAAAGCAAGTCTTTCATCGATCTTTGACAAAACAGTGCAAGGTCTTGGTGGATAAAGTGTTCAGTATATGTTTAATTAGCTGTGACTGGGCAATTCATAATGTCAACTGATAGAGTGATTGTCTTCTCTATCCAAAAAGGCAGATTTCTTCATCAAAAAGCAGGGAATTGCATTGGGTTGGAATCCAATTAAACTCTAAGCATGTTTATATTTGATCCTTTCCACCCACACATGTATCAAAACAAGAATAGGATGTGGCATAATGTATTACTTATTTTAAGAGCATGTGTGTGCATAAGTATTACAATTTCTCAGAGGATGAATACTACTTTTGTCTGGGACATCTTGACAAACCTAAAGAAGAAAATGACGTTTGAGTCTGGGCTCTGGGGGGAAATTAGGGTCTGAAACTAGAGAATGGGAAGTAAGGTTGTAGGCAAAGAGAAACCCCTGCAAAAAATCAGAGATTGGGGTGTTGACAAAGAGGAAAGGTAGTAATGTAGCATGGTCAGATATTGAAATAATTATTATTATGAATGTTACAATAATTGACATTTGTACAAAAAAATTTTTAAAAAAATAAAGAAATAGGGAGACATTACCAATACCAAAGCAATAAAAACAGATGAAGCTAAGCAACTGTATATGTTTAAGGAAACATGGCTTACCACGGGATACCATTGATAACTTAAAAATAAAGAGGCAATATAAATAGAAGAATTTAAAATCAGAAAACAGGAAGATTTTTCTACAAATATGTAACACTCTGATGTAGCCAACTTTATGGATTTAACACTGTATAGGTTGGAATCAGAAGAGCATCTGTGGGCAGAAGAATAATGGAAACTGACTTAACAATTTGGTTTCTTTCCTTTCCTTTCCCTTTCTTTCTTTCTTTCTTTCTTTCTTTCTTTCTTTCTTCCTTCCTTCCTTTCTCTCTCTCTGTCTGTCTTTCTTTCTTTCTTTCTTTCTTTCTTTCTTTCTTTCTTTCTTTCTTTCTCTTTCTTTCTTTCTTTCTTTCTTTCTTTCTCTTTCTTTCTTTCTTTCTTTCTCTTTCCTTCCTTCTTTCTTCCTTTCTTTTTTTCTTTTGTTTTGTTTTCGGGGACTTAACCTGCCAGTGCTCAGAGTTTATTTCTGGATCATTGCTTAGCAGTGACTTCTGGAGGTTCTCATGGGCCCATATAGTACAGTGACTAAGTCTGTTTTTCCTACAGTGCTCTCCAGACTACTGGGTTATCACTTTGGCCCATAATTTGAGCTTTTGAATCTTTTTGGTTTGTTTCACTTAATTCCCAAACCAAGTACACCTAAGTTCAGGTTATGAATTGAAAACCACTAACTACCTCGTGATCCAATTTTCTTTTCCACCACAAAATTAACTAATGCTCAATAATTCATAGTTAGCTTGTTATTTCTACATGAATATACAGGTCTCTTTTTCTTTTTTTTTTTTTGAATTTATCTTGTAGCTTTTGGGCTACACCCAGCAATGCTTGGGAATTTCTCGTGGCTCTACATGTAGGAATTTCTCTTGGCAGTACTCAGGGGCCATACAGATGTCAGGAATTAAATACAGGTTGGACACATGCAAGGCAAATATACTACCCACCGTATTATTGCACTGGTCCCAAGAGCTCATCTCAAACTTAACATGATCTTTGTAAAAAAAAAATTTTCCTCTCAAAATTCCCTTCTTCCTTCCTTTTAATGCTACCTTTCTTCTCGCATGACTCCCTTTTTCCCTTTATTTTGGATGCTGGGGATGAAAACCAAAGCCTAATGTGTGCCAAAAATTACTCTACCTATTGACTGAAATACCCAGGTCTTATCACTAGACATGTATTTTTTTCCCTTTGGTTTGGGGACCACACTTAGTATTGCTGTGTGTTATACTTAGCTGAATGCTCTGATGTCCCTCCTGGCTATGTTGGGTTACCCAGATCTTGAGCTATCTCTCCAGTCCGTTTTATCACCATTTATAACATGTTTGCTTAGATACCAAAGTTAAAAACCATTCCTTTGCCTTCACCAGATATTTTTCTTTGTACCTCAAAATATTTCATAAATTCAAACAATTTTATTTTTCTCTTAACTTCCTAGCCTACCGGTTTGTTTTTTTCTGTAACATTAAAATATCCCTTGGTTGCCTCTTTTTGAATGAATAACTCATCACAGAACAGAAAAGGTATATTATTAATGTAGAATAGGATTAAATCATAACAATTCAAGTTTCAATAGTTTCATATTAAACTTAGAAAGATATCCATATTTTTCCCTTGCCTTCATAGTTGTTCATGGCTAACTTCTGCCACTGTTTCTCTAATATTGTAGTCTTCTCCTCGACAATTTTCTTAGTGCATTGGTTTATCTGCAAACAAATTAAGTCTTTCTCCAACTTCAGGCTTATATCCTACTGTTATCTACCTCTAGGTCCAGGTCTCATGCTTGACTCCATAACCTAATTGTGAAATACTTGTGTGGGATCAGGAGAATAATAGCTCAGTTGCTTGTACTGCTTGCATTGGAAGCATGTAGTCATAAATTCCCATCTCTTCTATGGCCACATATGACAAATATGAGCCTGAAAACTGCTGCTTGACCCTTTCGCTCTGCTCTCTGCCAGTGCTACAAGTGACTTGCAGTCATGCTTCAACTATGTGTCCACAACTGCCATGAAAAGGTGCCAGCTCTTGTGAGCACTGCAACTAGAACGATGTGTTAGCACTATGGCCAAAAAGTGCCTTCCCTGGGGAGTAGTACATGCATAAGCTCCAAAGTGACCACGAGGGAGAATTTTTATCAAAACTCGTGTGATTCCACTAAAGAGTGCAATTCCATGGAAGCACAGGTGCAAGTAACACAACAAGAGGAGCACAACCCTTACTGAGCACTGTGGTCGAGTGTAAAGTATCACAGGCTGATGAATGTAAAATATCACAGCCTGATGTGGGATCTACAGAGACCACCATAACTTCAAATGCATTAGCACATGAGAGCACTGTTCAAACTAAAGGTATCACAATAATTGTATCAGGAACAGCACTGATGAAGTGGAGAGACTGTGGGGCTAAATTTTTTCACAAAGGACTTTGGGGGGGAGAGTTTTTGCTTTTTGCATACTCTGGACTTAGTAAGCTAAACCTGACCTCCCAAGAAACTTATTCCATACTTTAGCAACCATCTTTTTACTATGGTATAAATTTATTATAAAACCTGGATGTATCAGAAATTATTTTTTTTATTATTTCTTTATTTTCCACAATATGAAAATTTCACAAATGTCACTACTTATATAATATCTGGGCTGGAGTGATAGCACAGTGGTAGGGCGTTCGCCTTAAAAGCGGCCAACATGGCCGACCCGAGTTCGATTCCTCCACCCCTCTCGGAGAGCCCGGCAAGCTACCGAGAGTATTCGATATGCCAGACACAGTAACAACAAAGTCTTCGATGGAGACGTTACTGGGCCCGCTCGAGAAAATCGACGATCAACGGGAGGGCCTTTACTTTACTTTACTATATAATATCTATACATTGCTTCTCTGCTAGTGCTTGAAACTTCATAGTAAATGCTGAAAAAGTATTTTTTGAAAGGATAACTGAATGGAGAGACATGTAAGTGAATCTTCTGATAATTTATTTTTCTAAATACTATTCTTGCTTCAATTTCCCCAAAAAAGAAATTTAAAAATATAGATAGAAAATGAATAAAATTTCAACAAGTGCACTTTATCACTTGTCTTCTTCAGAAAGATTAAGTATTCTTTCCAAAGATATAAGAAATATTAAACAGTATTTAACAGAGTAGAATGTGGTTTCAAACTAATTTCAACACAAACTAGGCAATTCTATTGTGCTGTAAGATGGTATGTATGGCTGTAAAGAAAGACGTTTCACAGCAACAGCTGGTAGGCTTCTTTGCTTTTCACGTGCCCCAAATTCCTAAGAATTACTTAAAAATAAAGTTTCTTAAGATAAAATAAGCATTATTTAAAATAAAATTATTCTTTTTAATGAATATGTCTTTATTCACAACAGGTAAATTGTAAAATGACCTAGTGGAGACATACTCCAAGTTTTAAAACTATGATTTGAGAATCATTTGGGGTGGGGTCGCTGAGGAGATGTATGGAGAAAAGCAGGTCAAGTGGGCACTGTATTTCTATATTTTTTATGAAATCAACTGTATTGTAACCTCCTGGTTCAATATTAGAATATAGATTTAAATATTTATATTTTGATTTTATATAGATTTAAATATTACTAATTTGGAACTTGGAATAATAGCTTAATTGACACTATATAGTTTCCTTTGCATTGCTAGTTATGGTACCAAAACAAAAAAAAAAAAACAAATGAAAATGATCTAACTCACTGGAGCTAGAGAGAGATGTAATGGGCTAGAGCACGTGATTTGTACATAGGAGGTCCAAGTTTGACCCCTCACATTATGTGGTCCCCTAAAGACCATCAGGAGTAATCCCCACAAACTGAGCCAGGAATAATCCTTATAATCTAAGAGGCAGGATCCCCAACTTAACCAACCAACCAAAAATGGCCACTACCCAGAAAATAATGGAGGAAAAAGCTAACAATAGTGAGTGTTCACTCTGCCTAAATTTACTATTTTCAACAAATCTAACTTATTATTATTTCATTCATTTTATATGTGGAGAAAATATATACAAGCTGGTTTTCACTGCTGCTTGCTTAATTACATAATTTCTGAGGTTGGGTAGATGGAAATTCTAGTTATAACAAAACGGATATTTACCTGCAGTGCTAGTATATGCAGAAAAAAATTATAGCAGATATATCTTTTTTTCTTCCAATTTTAGAGAGCAACTTATAATGGCATCTCCACCTGTTGAATTACCAGCTGACACAGTACAACGAGTTGCATCTGAACTTAGGTGCCAGCCAACAGACGAGAGGGTTGCCCTGCGCCTCGATGAGGAAGATAAGTTGAAACACTTCAGAGAACATTTTCATATTCCGAAGATGAAAGATCTACCTCCAAGTAAGAATGCGACAGGGATTTTGTTCTTAATCAATTTATTAATTTATTTCTTGTACTGCTAGTATTTGTCATAAATCTTTGAAAATCTTTGTTCCATTACAGAATAGCTTCTTAACAATTGTGTCTAAAAAAAAGCAAGCAGGTTTCATGTGCTACTAAATCAACCTGTCAGCCTACCTTATCCTCAGATTCTTTGTTTCCTTTCCTCTTCCAAATAAGATGCTTACAGAGTGCTTATACTGTCATCTACTTCTCTGAACAATAGAGCAACTGATTGAAAATTATAGGCAGTTCCATTCACTTGTTCTCTGAGCAGTTAGAGCTCAAAACAATTTCTTTTCAGCCTGGTATTAAAATCTCTTATTTGTGTGGCACCTCGTTTATGATTGCATGATATTTATCTTAAAGGAAATATTATTTGGGGATTTTGATATATTAGGATGGATGCCATGTGAATAGCCATCTTTATATACAATGGCACATATAAACATTATTCAAAAAATCAATCCTAAGAAATTCATACTGAATCTCTCTTTTCTAAATAAAGTTATATGCTGATTCTTTTGCTGGTTTGGAATAATTTATTCTTGAAAAGATAAACGTAGGTAGAACAAGAATACAAATATGAAAATACTTTTTATGATGTAATTTTGGTGGGGAATTTGTGGCCATCCTCAGTGGTGGTTAGTGTCTATTCCAGAGAACTGCTCAGAGTCACTCTTAGAATTGCTTTTTGGACATGCAGTTATAGGTCTCAAACCTATATTCTCATGCATGGAAAATATTCACATTAGCTCTTCAAACTGTCTCAAGAAAAAAGAAATATGGTAAAAACTGGTTCACATATTTTGTAGCAGACCCTAGTTTTCATTTTCCTACAAATTGAGTCAGGTGACATTTTAGATCTCTAAGAGCATAAACAATTATGATTTTAGGATGAAATTAGATCATTTGTTGTTTGGCTTATATATTACTAAGTACTTTAGGGTAGTATCATTGTATCACTGTCATCCTGTTGTTCATTGATTTACTTGAGTGGGTGCCAGTAACGTCTCCATTCTTCCCAGCCCTGCCATTTTAGAAGGCTCTCCTTACTCGTCCTTCCCAACAGTGCCATATTGGAGGCTCTTTCAGGGTCAGTGAAATGAGACCCGTTGTTGTTACTGATTTTGGCATATTGAATATGTCACGGGTAGCTTTCCAGGCTCTGCTGTGAGGGTGGGATACTCTCAGTAGCTTGCCTGGCTCTCCGAGATATATATATATTTCCCTCTTCGCTCTACGATTTGTTGTCTACTGTCTGACCTGCATGAAATATAGTGTGGGAATTATGGAAAATGGGTAGAGAGTGTCTTATGATGTGTTGCAATAGTACAGTGGGTAGGGCATTTGCCTTGCATGCGGTGGACCCAGGTTCAATTCCCAGCATCCCACATGGTCCTCCCAGCACTATCTGGAGTAATTCCTGAGTGCAAATCGAGGAATAACCACTGTGCATCGCTGGGTATGACCCAAAAAGCAAAAAAAATTCTGCTTGCCACTGTTTCAAAGCCCAGTTACTTTAGGATAGTACCATATAGAATTATAAAACAATGAAAAGGGAAGTAATCTTATATTCAATTTAATATATGTCAATATAAACTTTGAGGGGACAAATATATGTGCATGTAATAAGTGATATTCTCTAATAACAGAAGAAAAATCTATGTCTTTATAGACTCAAGAACAAAAGATCACTTTAGTTGAAATATTAAAAAATAAAAATATGCAAAACTTAAGACCTTAAATCTAGGGATACACTTTCTGTGATGGGAGAGAAAAGTGTACATTAGTCATTTTTAAGAGCAAACATATTTCATTTTAAAAATTGTGTTAGGCTTAGAAATACCAATGACCCTCCTGTGACTGACAGTTTTTACTGTGATGATTCTGCTTCAATATGTTCCTTCACCTCTGAGGTGTCCAGAGGTGTGATAAGCTATCACCTTCTTAGTCTGATTCCTGGAATCAGGGCTCTATTTCATTTATTGATATAATTTACTTATATTTAAAAAACACTCTATCTTATTTCTTTTCATGAGTGATAAAAGCAGACAGTGGGGCTAGAATAATAATTAACATCCTGGGAATTCGGCTTCAAGCTCCAGCACCACATCATCACCCTATAACCCCCAGGAATGATGTCTTGAGTTATAAGTAGTCTGTGAGCTTCATAGAGTAAATCCCAGAAATAGAAATAAGAGAGGGGAAGGGAAAGGAGAGAACGAGAATGGAAAAGAGGGGAGAGGTGGGATTGGGCTTCTAGTCAACTCTCCCACTTAATTTTCTGTGCTCCTACTGGGCTATCAGTACTGGGAACTCTGACAGCTGTGTCGTTAGGATGATTCAGTCTTGGTCCACCAGGTTTGGTGGCTGCAGCTTCTCTCTTTCTCTATCCTTCTCTCCCTCAACTCTCTCTTTCCTCTTCCCCCTCCCTTCCTCTCCCATTTCTCCCACGCTCTTCCCCACCCCTATGCCCCCCTTTCTCTCCCTCTCTCTCACCCCCTTCCACTCTCACGCAGGATCCACTCCTGGTGAGACTCAGGTGACCATGTGAGGTATCAAGTCTGCGTAGTGCACAGCAAGTGCCCAAGTCACTGTACTATCTCTCTCACTGCTCAATTATTTTTAGTGCTGAAGATCTAACCCAGAACCTCATACCTACATTGAACATCTTCATCAGTCAGCTGTCTGTACCTGAGTTCTCCATTTCTTTCTTCTTTTTTTCGGTTGTGTCTGAGTGTTTTCTTGTTTGTTTATTGGAGCAAAATTAAATTTTAACATGATAGAGTTTTCAGATGTGCATCAGTGAACAAACAGTATGTTTATGTGCTACGTTTAAATTCACTACCAGAAGTTCAAATCTCTGTACTACATTAAATTCAATACTAGATCTACTACATTTCACCATGGAAAAAGATTTTATTGCAATTTTTTTCATACTTTATAACTCAGATTGGGACTGGGGCCTCCTTCACCCAGATCCCCTACCTTCCAGTATTTAGGCGTTACACCCACCAACTGCCCCCAGCGCCATGTAATCCCACTGACAGCCAAGACCCAGAGATTAAAACACCCTGCTCCTGGAAGAAAACAGCACAGAGTCTCCTGCCTCCATGCCTGGCTGTCTTCACCAGGGCCCCTTGGAGGAGGGTGGGTTGAGTTTCGCCCCCGACCCTGAGCAGAGCCCCGGCAGCTGAAGACCTCTGGTTCCAGTCACAGCCATGCTTAAGACCACTTCCCACAAGTTTGGATGAGCCTCACACATGAAGGAGCTGGCAGAGAAACACAGGTGTACAGGACCTGGGGAGTAGATCTCCAAGACTGCTCGGATTGGGACCGGGGCCTCCTCCACCCAGATCCCCGATCTTCCAGTACGTAGGCGTTACACCCACCAACTGCCCCTGGTGCCATGTAATCCCATCAACGGCCAAGACCCAGAGACTATAATTATCTAGTTCTTACTCTGGAGAACCTGGCAAGCTACCAAAAGTATCCTGCTCACACGGCAGAGTTTGGCAAACTCCCGTGGCATATTCAGTATGCCAAAAACCAGTAACAATGATGGGTCTCATTCTCCTGACCTTGAAAGAGCCTCACATGTGGCACTTTTTAAAATCTCAGGCCTAGGACGAAGGAGATGTTACTGGGGCCTGCTCGAGGCAATAGATGAACAACAGGATGACAGTGACAGTGACAGTGACTTTATAACTCAGGAATATTTTTTAAATGAAGAATAATTTGTTTGGCATATCGAATACATCACGGGTAGCTTGCCAGGCTCTGCCGTGCAGGCGAGATACTCTCAGTAGCTTGCTGGGTTCTCCAAGAGGGGCGGAGGAATCGAACTGGGGTCGGCCATGTTGGCTGCATGCAAGACAAACGCCCTGCCACTGTGCTATCAATATGCCAAACACAGTAACAACAAAGTCTCCAATGGAGACGTTACTGGGCCCACTCGAGCAAATCGATGAACAATGGGAGGACAGTGACAGTGACAGTGACAGTGAAGAATAATTCGTAGTTGAGTTTCAGTGCAGCATTCTTAGTGCTAGTTCCAACACCAGTGTCAATTTCCCTCGCCAGTGTCTTCAGGTTCCCTCCCCAACACCCCCCATCCAGTAGCATTAGGTCCCTGGGCTCCCTTGCCTAAGCCTGTGTGGCTGCAGCAGGAACAGCACCTGGGTGTCCAGCCTTGCTAGGCTGAGTGGTCAGCAGCTGGATCCAGTGCAACCTATCTGGCCTCAAATAAAGGTCAATGCTGTATTTTTTTTAAGTACCTTCTGTGCAGGTGCATTTTAAGTTTGGTCCATGTGGTTTGGAAGGCCTGCTTTCAGTGTTGTTGACTCTGTGGTTTAGATATATAGGTATACCTCTCTCCACCACTGATGTGCCAGGGTCCTACCACTCTTTACTTTTGGTCCACTTCTTCTTACTGCACTGCCTTGATTTTTTTTTCATTATGCCCTCTTTCCTGACCTCTGGTTCAAGGTGATGAAGATATACCGCCTGTCACCCTTTAAAACCTTGCATTTGTTCAGCAGTTTTTCTGCGTACTGCACATGAACTCATCCTGTGTCTGTCCTTCTGAGATACTTCATTTAACATATATTCATTCCAATTCCATCCAAGTTGTAGAAAATTGCATGAATTTGACATTTCTTATAGCTGTGTTGTACTTCATTCTAATATTGCCACACATTTATAGTCCATATATCTCGTAACACCTACTTCCTGAATGTTGGAGATGCTCTTACATATGTTCTAAGTGCTGCAATGAATAATGGCACGCATATGTCCTTTTGAATGAATGTTTTTGTGTCCTGTGAGTAGATGCTCAGAAGTAGAATTGCTGGGTCATATGACAACTTAATTCTTACTGCACTGAGAAATCACCAAACTACTTTTCTTAGGAGTTGAGCCAGACAATATTTCTCTCAGCAGTGGATGAATTCCTGATT